AACTCATTGGCTGCCAAAGACGTCTATAGACGTCTTTTATGTTTTTCAGCGAGAGTGTCTGGGGGACGATCTGCTAAAGCTTGTCCGTAAATATGGGCTTCTAGACAGAGTCTGTAGTAACAAATTGACCCTCTAGGGGGCAGTGCCACTTTTGATGGGAGATGAGCATAGACTGTAGGCAAATAAGAAAAAGGGAACGGTTCTATGAGAGAACATGTCGCCGGTGAGACGCAAGTCCAGGAAGAACGGAATAAGGTAGAAACACATTTTTTTTCCTGATGAAAGAAGAGAGTCTACTCTTTCTTTTGGTGTGTTCGGTGTTTACATAGTCATAGCACAAACTATTCTGTAGCTCTTGAAAAATCAGTCAAAATGCTCAAAAAACTCTGGCAGTATGGGACTCTGTTCTGAAAATGGCTGCCAGTCAATGAGTTAATTATAGTCTGCAGGTTAAAGACTTTAGGATTTAAGATCGTTCACATAAACCCGATATCGCATAGACATTAAAGTATTTAGGGACTAAGTTCACATGAGAGGAAATGGACCGGTTCTAGCTAAATGAGAACATTAAAACCCTTAATTTCTCTCATAAAGACAACCAAATTTATTGAGACTTCCTGAAATGGAGCTTTGGAAAAAGAGGCAAAGCAACCATTAGGACTCACAAAACTTTGACCGAACTAGTGTTGATATTAGGAGAGACAGACCTGTACCAAGACCAGTACCAAGACCAGTATCCAGACCTGTACCAAGACCTGTACCAAGACCTGTACCCAGACCTATACCAGTACCCAGACCTGTACCCAGACCTGTCCCCAGACCTGTCCCCAGACCTGTACCCAGACCTGTACCAAGACCTGTATCCAGACCTTTACCCAGACCTGTATCCAGACCTGTACCAAGACCCGTACCCAGACCTGTTCCCAGACCAGTACTCAGACCCAGACCTGTACCTAGACCAGTCCCCAGACCAGTACCCAGACCAGTACCCAGACCTGTACCCAGACCAGTCCCCAGACCTGTACCCAGACCCGTACCAAGACCAGT